TTAGTATAAGTTGTTGTTCTTTTTTATGTTTTGCATGTTAATTTTATTTTATTTATATTTTAACAAAATTTTTTTTTATATATAAATAAACTTTATTTTAAATTTAACAAAACTAAGCGCTTTCTTAAAATTTTTGATCAACAATTTCAGTCTTGTTTGTGGAATGACAGACTTAACAACTTCGATCACTTTGTTATTTCATAAGGATCCATAACTTCTATCTTTCTATCTATCTATCTATCTATCTATCTATCTATCTATCTATCTATCTATCTATCTATCTATCTATCTATCTATCTATCTATCTATCTATCTATCTATCTATCTATCTATCTATCTATCTATCTATCTATCTATCTATCTATCTATCTATCTATCTATCTATCTATCTATCTATCTATCTATCTATCTATCTATCTATCTATCTATCTATCTATCTATCTATCTATCTATCTATCTATCTATCTATCTATCTATCTATCTATCTATCTATCTATCTATCTATCTATCTATCTATCTATCTATCTATCTATCTCTGTCGAGTTCAGGTTATTAAGATCACGGAAAGAAACGTGTAGAAAAATATAAACCAAAATTAAGGAGGAAATGGCGGACGAGGTTTCGCAAGATTTAAATAAATACACTTTTGTTCTTTTAAATATATACAATTTATTTATTTAGGACTCATTTGCTGTTTTCATCTTCTCAATAAATAACACGACAAAATGTATGTTCACAGTAAGCTTATTTCTTTTTAAAAAAAAGTAATATTCAATTATCTTTTGTATCAAATTTACACGATATTTTTTTCTTTAAAGTAAAACATTAAAAAGGCAATAAATTAACAAATGCTTAATTTAAAACCAAAAATCAACAGATTTTATATCAAGAATATATATAAATATACTATAGATAGTTTTACTTATTATTACTGAGAAAAAAAATAAAAGTTTTTTTTTAAAAAAAAGATACAAACAACAATTTACATCGAATTCTATTTGTGTTTTTTATGAAGCTCTTCGGTTTCTAAGCGTAAATTCTGAAAAAAAAGAAAATATTTAATTACAATTTTCCAGTAATTTAAAAAACACCACAAACTTACATGAAATACTTCTTGTATTTTATCGGTTATTAATTTTCTAGCCTCCGGTTCAGGAACATTTCTACTTTTTAAATCGTTTATAAAATCATTCATATCAATCGGTTTGCCAATATTAACCGTTACTCTTTTGCCCCATTTAAGGATATAGGGTTCCACATTTGGCAGCACATCATCCATGCCCTCATGCCACATGGGTATAATTATAGGCACTTTGGAAGATTCATAGATAATACGACCAACACCCCATTTCAGGCGCATTTCTTCTTTAGTCATATTCACTTTACCCTCAGGAAACACATGTACCCAGTGTCCCAATTTTACTTTTTGTACACAAATATCGACAGCATCTTGATAGACACCTTGGCCACGTATTACGGGAATGCATTTACCTATTTATGGAGATTTTGAAAATGTTATTATTTGAGTTTAAAACCGTAAACTAGACCATAGTTAGACCATCGACTAGACTAGACTAGACTAGACTAGACTAGACTATAGACTAGACTATAGACTAGACTATAGACTAGACTATAGACTAGACTATAGACTAGACTATAGACTAGACTATAGACTAGACTATAGACTAGACTATAGACTAGACTATAGACTAGACTATAGACTAGACTATAGACTAGACTATAGACTAGACTATAGACTAGACTATAGACTAGACTATAGACTAGACTATAGACTAGACTATAGACTAGACTATAGACTAGACTATAGACTAGACTATAGACTAGACTATAGACTAGACTATAGACTAGACTATAGACTAGACTATAGACTAGACTAGACTAGACTATAGACTAGACTATAGACTAGACTATAGACTAGACTATAGACTAGACTATAGACTAGACTAAAGACTGGACTATAGACTGGACTATAGACTAGACTAAAGACTGGACTATAGACTAGACTATAGACTGGACTATAGACTGGACTATAGACTGGACTATAGACTGGACTATAGACTGGACTATAGATTGGATTATAGACTGGACTATAGATTGGACTATAGACTGGACTATAGACTGTTCTATAAACTGGACTACAAATTGGACTATAGACTGGACTATTGACTTGACTATAGACTGGACTATAGATTAACTAGTCTACCGTCTAGTTTATCGTATCGTATAGTCTATTTTTTAGCCTATCATTTAGTCCGCTGACTCGTCCATCATCTAGTCTATTGTATAGCCTATCGTCATCTCTATCGTATTATTATTGCTAGATCAACATACCAAACATAAAAAATGTTGAATGATATTTATTTGTAAAACAAATATCATGGGCTGCCATAGACCATCTAATTTTAAAGGAATTACAAACGTAACGCACTGGTAAAACACCTAAAAAATTACATTTTAAAATACAAAGATAAAAAGAAACGAAATTGTAAATGTTAATTAAATTCTAAAATCCAAAGTTTAAATTTTACATACCCCAAAGACCGGGATCATCAAAACATGAATGATGATTTGATACGGTTACTAAGGGTACACCGGGTGGTCGTTTAGCCACGGCTTCTATCAGTCTTTCTCTATTATAAACTTTTGTTTTATTCATAAAAACTGTAAAGAATGGTTTATCGATATATAATTAATTATAATTGTTTATAAGTACATATATATAAGGAATTCAAATGAGTACAAGGTTTAAGCATGGTACCATGGATTCAATGAAATGTTTACGAATGTATTAATGAAATGAGGAACAGTGCGATGATATAAATAAATTAATTAATTACAAAACTAAAAAAAGAAGCTATATGATAGGATTACATATTACAGAGATTTTATACAATACTAATTGAAACTATTCTATTTTTCTATTAAATGCAACGAACCTTGTTAATTAAAATAAATTAATTTTAATAAATATAAACTTTTTAGTACAGACATTCACTTTACTTCACTTTACCTTTCTTTTCCACAATTAGATTGCACGTTGATGGAAGTAATTGAAACTAAATTGAAAGAAACCAGCAAAAATAAAGGCATTTAAGTCGCACATACATAAATTCAAATTTGAAATCCTAAGATTTACTTTAATTTAAATATATTTTGTTATTTGTGATCCAATGCGTTCGTAATCAATCATATTTTACTTCAAAAATCTATATTTTTAGTCGAAAACATAAAATCGTCTGTAACTTCGTTAAAACGCGTTTAAATTGAAAAAGGGCCTCGATTTGTGATCACTCATATTTAACCTCAATAATCGATTTTTTGATCGAAAACATAAAATCGGCTGTAACTTCGTTAAAACGCGTTTAAATTGAAAAAGGGCCTCGATTTGGGATCACTCCTATTTTACCTCAAAAATCGATTTATTATAGAAAATATAAAATCGGCTCTAACTTCGTTAAAACACGTTTAAATTGAAAAAGGGCCTCGATTTGTGATCACTCATATTTTACCTCAAAAATCGATTTTTTATGGTCGAAAATATAAAATCAGCTGTAACTTCGTTAAAACACGTTTAAATTGAAAAAGGGCCTCGATTTGTGATCACTCATATTTTACCTCAAAAATCGATTTTTTATGGTCGAAAACATAAAATCGGCTGTAACTTCGTTAAAACGCGTTTAAATTGAAAAAGGGCCTCGATTTGGGATCACTCCTATTTTACCTCAAAAATCGATTTCTTGATCGAAAACATAAAATCGACTGTAACTTCCCTAAAACACGTTTAAATTGAAAAAGGGCCTCGATTTGTGATCACTCATATCATATCAAAAATCGATTTTTTTGGTAGAAAACATAAAATCGGCTGTAACTTCCTTAAAACACGTTTAAATTGAAAAAGGGCCTCGATTGGTGATCACTCATATTTTACCTCAAAAATCTATTTTTTTGATAGAAAACATAAAATCGGCTGTAACTTCGTTAAAATACGTTTAAATTGAAAAAGGGCCTCGATTTGTGATCACTCATATTTTACCTCAAAAATCGAATTTTTTGGTAGAAAACATAAAATCGTCTGTAACTTCGTTAAAACACGTTTAAATTGAAAAAGGGCCTCGATTTGTGATCACTCATATTTTACCTCAAAAATCGATTTTTTTGATCGAAAACATAAAATCGGCTGTAACTTCCTTAAAACACGTTTAAATTGAAAAAGGGCCTCGATTTGTGATCACTCATATTTGACCCCAAAAATAGATTTTTTGATCGAAAACATAAAATCGGCTGTAACTTCGTTAAAACACGTTTAAATTGAAAAAGGGCCTCGATTTGTGATCACTCATATTTTACCTCAAAAATCGATTTTTTATGGTCGAAAACATAAAATCGGCTGTAACTTCGTTAAAACGCGTTTAAATTGAAAAAGGGCCTCGATTTGGGATCACTCCTATTTTACCTCAAAAATCGATTTCTTGATCGAAAACATAAAATCGACTGTAACTTCCCTAAAACACGTTTAAATTGAAAAAGGGCCTCGATTTGTGATCACTCATATCATATCAAAAATCGATTTTTTTGGTAGAAAACATAAAATCGGCTGTAACTTCCTTAAAACACGTTTAAATTGAAAAAGGGCCTCGATTGGTGATCACTCATATTTTACCTCAAAAATCTATTTTTTTGATAGAAAACATAAAATCGGCTGTAACTTCGTTAAAATACGTTTAAATTGAAAAAGGGCCTCGATTTGTGATCACTTATATTTTACCTCAAAAATCGAATTTTTTGGTAGAAAACATAAAATCGTCTGTAACTTCGTTAAAACACGTTTAAATTGAAAAAGGGCCTCGATTTGTGATCACTCATATTTTACCTCAAAAATCGATTTTTTTGATCGAAAACATAAAATCGGCTGTAACTTCGTTAAAACACGTTTAAATTGAAAAAGGGCCTCGATTTGTGATCACTCATATTTGACCCCAAAAATAGATTTTTTGATCGAAAACATAAAATCGGCTGTAACTTCGTTAAAACACGTTTAAATTGAAAAAGGGCCTCGATTTGTGATCACTCATATTTTACCTCAAAAATCGATTTTTTATGGTCAAAAATATAAAATCGGCTGTAACTTCGTTAAAACGCGTTTAAATTGAAAAAGGGCCTCGTTTTGTGATCACTCATATTTTACCTCAAAAATCTATTTTTATAGTCAAAGATATAAAATCGGCTGTAACTTCGTTAAAACACGTTTAAATTGAAAAAGGGCGTCGATTTGTGAACACTCATATTTTACCTCAAAAATCGATTTTTTTGGTATTTTACCTCAAAAATCGATGTTTTTGATCGAAAACATAAAATCGGCTGTAACTTCGTTAAAACGCGTTTAAATTGAAAAAGGGTCTCGATTTGTGATCACTCATATTTAACCTCAAAAATCGATTTTTTATGGTCGAAAATATAAAATCGGCTGTAACTTCGTTAAACGCGTTTAAATTGAAAAAGGGCCTCGATTTGTGATCACTCATATTTTACCTCAAAAATCGATTTTTTTGATCGAAAACATAAAATCGGCTGTAACTTCGTTAAAACGCGTTTAAATTGAAAAAGGGCCTCGATTTGTGATCACTCATATTTGACCTCAAAAATCGATTTTTTATGGTCGAAAATATAAAATCGGCTGTAACTTCGTTAAACGCGTTTAAATTGAAAAAGGGCCTCGATTTGTGATCACTCATATTTGACCTCAAAAATCGATTTTTTTGATCGAAAACATAAAATCGGCTGTAACTTCGTTAAAACGCGTTTAAATTGAAAAAGGGCCTCGATTTGTGATCACTCATATTTGACCTCAAAAATCGATTTTTTTGATCGAAAATATAAAATCGGCTGTAACTTCGTTAAAACGCGTTTAAATTGAAAAAGGGCCACGATTTGTGATCACTCATATTTGACCTCAAAAATCGATTTTTTTGATCGAAAACATAAAATCGGCTGTAACTTCGTTAAAACGCGTTTAAATTGAAAAAGGGCCTCGATTTGTGATCACTCATATATTACCCCAAAAGTCGATTTATTATAGAAAACATAAAATCGGCTGTAACTTCGTTAAAACACGTTTAAATTGAAAAAGGGCCTCGATTTGTGATCACTCATATTTTACCTCAAAAATCGATTTTTTTGGTAGAAAACATAAAATCGGCTGTAACTTCGTTAAAACGCGTTTAAATTGAAAAAGGGCCACGATTTGTGATCACTCATATTTGACCTCAAAAATCGATTTCTTTGATCGAAAACATAAAATCGGCTGTAACTTCGTAAAAACGCGTTTAAATTGAAAAAGGGCCACGATTTGTGATCACTCGATTTTTTTGGTAGAAAACATAAAATCGGCTGTAACTTCGTTAAAACACGTTTAAATTGAAAAAGGGCCTCGCTCATAATTTACTCCAAAAATCGATTTTTTGGTAGAAAACATAAAATCGGCTGTAACTTCCTTAAAACACGTTTAAATTGAAAAAGGGCCTCGATTTGTGATCACTCATATTTTACCTCAAAAATCGATTTTTTTTATAGAAAATATAAAATCGGCTGTAACTTCGTTAAAACGCGCTTAAATTGAAAAAGGGCCTCGATTTGTGATCACTCATATTTTACTTCAAAAATCGATTTTTTTGGTAGAAAACATAAAATCGGCTGTAACTTCGTTAAAACACGTTTAAATTGAAAAAGGGCCTCGATTTGTGATCACTCATATTTTACCTCAAAAATCGATTTTTTTGGTAGAAAACATAAAATCGGCTCTAACTTCGTTAAAACGCGTTTAAATTGAAAAAGGGCCTCGATTTGTGATCACTCATATTTTACCTCGAAAATCGATTTTTTGATCGAAAACATAAAATCGGCTGTAACTTCGTTAAAACGCGTTTAAATTGAAAAAGGGCCTCGATTTGTGATCACTCATATTTTACCCCAAAAATCGATTTTTTGATCGAAAACATAAAATCGGCTGTAACTTCGTTAAAACGCGTTTAAATTGAAAAAGGGCCTCGATTTGTGATCACTCATATTTTACCTCAAAAATCGATTTTTTGATAGAAAACATAAAATCGGCTGTAACTTCGTTAAAACACGTTTAATTTGAAAAAGGGCCTCGATTTGTGATCACTCATATTTGACCTCAAAAATAGATTTTTTGATCGAAAACATAAAATCGGCTGTAACTTCGTTAAAACGCGTTTAAATTGAAAAAGGGCCTCGATTTGTAATCACTCATATTTTACCTCAAAAATCGATTTTTGGATAGAAAACATAAAATCGGCTGTAACTTCGTTAAAACACGTTTAATTTGAAAAAGGGCCTCGATTTGTGATCACTCATATTTTACCTCAAAAATCGATTTTTTATAGAAAATATAAAATCGGCTGTAACTTCCTTAAAACACGTTTAATTTGAAAAAGTAACTTCGTTAAAACACGTTTAAATTGAGCGCATCGATTTGTGATCACTCATATATTACCTCAAAAATCGATGTTTTTGATCGAAAACATAAAATCGGCTGTAACTTCGTTAAAACGCGTTTAAATTGAAAAAGGGCCTCGATTTGTGATCACTCATATTTTACCCCAAAAATCGATTTTTATGCTCAAAAATATAAAATCGGCTGTAACTT